GTTGTATAAACTCTAGAGAGTGTATGCAAAGGTCATGAGGTAGAAAGTGACAAAAACAAAGCCAGTGTAATTGGAGGAAGAAAGAAGTATGTATGAGTTAAGGTAAGAGAGGCAAGCTCAAGCCACAGGATATCTAGGAAGCCATGTGAGGAACTTTAGTTTTGATCCTAAAGGAATGGGAAGCCATGGAAGGATTTTAAGCATGGGAATGACATGATCATATTTCCATTCTACAAAGATCACACTGAAAGCTCTGTTGAGAACCAGTTGGGAGGAATTGAGAATTTGAAGAAAAAAAAAAAAAGTAGGCTCAAATCCAGACTCTGCTATTCATTAGGTGTATGACTACAGGCAAGCTTTAAATATAATAATCACAGCCAAGAGTTGCTGGGAACTGTTATAAGCACTTTAAATATATTAACTCCCTTAATTTATACTATAGTCTTTTTAGGTAGGTACTTTTATTAACCCCATTTCACAAAGGGAACTAAGATACAAAGAGGTTAAGTAAACTGCCCAACTGTTTATTGGGTTAAGTCACGCAATAAGAATGCAGCAGAGCACGAGTTAAAAAAACCCCAGTGGTCTGGCTCCAGAACTGAGCTTTGATTCACTATGTGCAAAGTATTTGTTTGAATTAAGTAACATTATATAAAAAACAAACAGACAAAATAAAACTTAGTGGAGTGGCTGGCTGATAGTAGTTGCTCAACAAATGCTACTGCCTTCCTGCCTTTACTCAAATGTAGCCAGAGCTTTTCACAGCCTGGTTTTTAAAAACCACACCTTTTAAAAAGTCCTCCTGAAAATATAAACACTTTTCCAGGGAGTTGATCCACTGTAGATATGATAACATTCTATAAATGACATTTAATGCCTCTTGGCCACCAGAACAGCTGAGAATCCCTAATCCCTGCCAGCTGAAAAAAATCTCTTTATTAATTATTATTATTTACAGAGTGTTGTCAGGTGCCAGTATCTCTGCTAAGTGCTATCATATACTATATTATCTAATTTTCAGAACTCAAAGAAATAAGAAAATTATCATCCCCATTACACATATGAGGAAACTGAGGCTCAGAATTTCCCAAGGTCATATTGCCAATAACTGGTAGGACTAGAATTTAAATCGCGCAGTTTGATTCCAGAGCTTGCACTCTGTTATTCAGAGTGTAGTCCAAAGACAAGCTGCTGGTAAGCAAACTGCTTATTATTAGTCCAGGATAAAGTAAGAACATACAACAGTCACTAAACACACTATTAAATTCAGCCAACATTTTTTTTCAATAGCAAGACCTTGATGAAGGAAGAAAAGCATTAATGCTCATTTTGGCATAAGCTTTTAATAACTTCTTGGATTGGTACTTTGAAATGCATTGCTCTAAATTATTATACTACTCTGCCTCCTTGAACTGACATTGTACTGTTTTTTAAAATTTTTTCATATTTATTTATTTAAATTAGTTTCAAGTATATAGTACATTGGTTAGACATCTATATAGTTCATAAAACGATCCCCCTAGTTGCTCCCTTCCTCCCCTGACCCTCCACCTAGCCATCATATTAATGCTAACTGCATTCCTTCTGCCATGCTCCCCATCCCCAAATATAAACTACTAATTTGTACTTCTTTAACCCTTCATTCCATTCTCCCAGCCCCCCGAACCCCCTCTCCTCTGTCTGTCACCAAATTGTCCACTATATTTGTATCTGTTTTTGATTAGTTTGTTCTTTTTGCTCCTTAGATACCGCATATAAGTGAAATCATATGGTATTTATCTTTCTCTGACCTATTTCACTCAGTATAATAACCTCTAAGTCCATCCATGTCGTTGCAAATGGTAGGATTTCATTTCATTTCATTGTACTTTATTTTTCACTTACCATCTTCTGTAATACATTGTAATTATTCCTGTGTATGTGTGCACATACACATATACACACTCCCTGAAATCAGGGACATTTACCTTAGTACCCTCCAGTCAGAATGTCTAGTAGTACAATGCTTACCACATAGCAAGAAGAGTCTCAATCAATCATTTTTAATTAATTAATTAATAGCACAGTCATTAAACTTTAGAAAATATATATTATACAACTGGATTGTATAGTCACATTCAAGAACCTGTCATTCTTTCAACAATAGCTTAATGTCTCCCATGTGGCAGGCAGGCCCTGTGCTAGGTGCTGACAAAATAAAGAAGAACACGATCCCCATCTCGTTAGTGGGGAAGGGGAGCTGACACATGAATAGATCATTACCGCCCCAAGCACTAAGCGACGTGATAGAGGTGTGTGTCAAGTGCTATAAGAGCAACCAAGTCTCTGGGGCATCATAAAAAGATAAAGCACATATTTAAGCCTAAAACAATTGAAGTACTATCAGCTGTGAGAGCTAAAATCATACCTTATTATCCAGTCTTCCAAATAGCACATTTAGCACAGTTGTACTCTAAGTTAAAAGGTTCAAAAGTTCAAATTTGGTTTAAGGACTTAAAATAAGACTCTATTTAATTAAAAATACTGGAGTCAGGCAGAACTAGGTTAAATCCAAGCAACTTACTACTTATGTGACTTTTGGCCATTCTGAGTTTTGGTTTCCTCATCTGTATGATGGGAATATACTAATATTTATCTAGTGAGTAAGAAAGTATAATTTTTTGTCACATCCACATATTGTGTCATGTATTACCTTGTTGCAATGGCAAACCACCCAAACTATTATTTATTAAATATTTTTCTTTAAATCAACTGAAAATTACATTAATTGAGAAAGAAAATGGTACAGCCATTTTGGAAAATAGTTTGGCAGTTTCTTATAAATTTAAACATACACTACACTTACCATTTGACCCAGCAATCACATTCCTAGAGAAATGAAAACTTTATGTTCTCACAAAAATCTGTATGTGTTTATAGTGGTTATATTCATAACTGCCAAAAACTAAAAGCAACACAAATGCCCTTCGACTGGTGAATGGATAAACAAACATACATCCATTCAATTAAATGTTAATCAGCAACAAAAATGAACATACTAGCAACAACATGGATGAATCTCAAATACATTATCCTAAGTGAAAGAAGCCACACTCACAAGAAAAAATACTGTATGATTCCACTTAACGTGCCATTCTGGAAAAGGCAAAACTATTGGGACAGAAAATAGATCAGTAGTAGCCAGGGACTGGGTGTGGGGGAAGTACTGACTACAAATGCAGGGGGAAACTTCTCGGGATGATCAAAATGTTCTATATCTTGATTATGATGATATTTATTGTGTGCATTTGTCAAAACTCATAGAAATTGTTTACTAAAATGGTGAATTTTTACTGAATATAAATTATATCTCGACAAGCCTGGCTTTATATTACTACTGTAAATGAAAAACTAGTATTAGCTGTCATAAATAGAAGTTAAGTTAAAAATAAATACAATGAAAACAATAATGTTATAAAATTCTAGCTAGATATTAGTGCTAGCCAAAGGCAGAGCCAGAGGTCCCCTCTCTGTTATAAAGATTAGGAAGTGCTAGAATAGTGTTAAGGACATACAACACTAAGAATTACTCCTTGACATAATTAGGTTGAATGAGAATTAAAAAGGGATGATGAAATTTCTCACCATGTGATTTAATGTAATTTAAGGCAAACCATAGGGCATCTCACAATTTCTGAAACACTGAGATAAGATATGTAAAGTGCCTCGCCTGGAGTAAGTAGTTAGTAAATGTTATTTCTTCTCCTCTACAGTTTTCTAACAAAACCAAAGGGTAAATGAAAAGCAGAGCAGACAAGGAATACCTAAATAAATGGGAAGATATACTGTTAATGTATCAGAGGAATTAAAATAGATAAAATGTCAATTCTCCTCAAATTGATCTACAGAGTCAACACAAACCGAACCAAATTCTATCAGGCTCCTTTCTGTAGGAATCAACAAACTAATTCTAAATATTTTATGAAAAACTAAAAGACCTAAACTAACCAAAATAATTTTGAAAAAGAACAAATTTATAGTTTCAGGAAGCAGGCTACAGTAATCAAGATAGTGTGGTATTGGTATAAGCATAGATATATTAGATCAATGTAACAGAATGGAATATAGAAATAGACTTACACATACATGGTTAATTGACTTTCTAAAGGTGTTAAGAAAATTCAATGGAGAAAGAAAATCTTTTTAACAAAAGGATAGCTACATAAAAAAATAACTTTGACCTATATTTCATACCATATACAGATATAACTCAAAATGGATCACAGACCTAAATGTAAATCTTAAAACTGTAGAAATTCTAGAAGAAAACACAGGAGAATATCGTTGTGATCTTGGGTTAGACAAAGACACTAAAAGCATGAACAATAAAAAAAAATTGATAAATTGAACTTCATCAAACTTATCAGAAAAGAAGATAGTAAGATAAGTCATACAGGGAGAAATTATTTGCAAAACAGATACTGAAAAAGAACTGGTATCCAAAAATAGATTTAAAAAACTTGTATAACTCAGTAATTAAAAAAATTTTTTTTAATAGATAAAAGGTTTGGCAAATGGTCAACGAATATTTGAGAAGATGCTCAATATCGCCAGCTATTAAGGAAATGCAAATCAAAACCACAATGAGATATCACCTCACACCTGTTAGAATAGCCAGAATTGACAGGACAAGTAATAACAAATGTTGGAGAGGATGCGGAAAAAAGGAACCCTCATACTGCTGGTCACACTGCTGGTGGGACTGCAAATTGGTACAGGCACTATGGAAAACAGTATGGAGGTTCCTCGAAAAATTTAGAATTGATCTACCATATGATCCAGCAATCCCTCTACTGGGTATTTACCCCGAAGACTTGAAAACCCATATCCAAAAAGATATTTGCACACTGATGTTCATAGCAGCATTATTCACAGTGGCCAGAACATGGAAGCAACCAAAGTGTCCTACAAAAGATGATTAGCTAAAGAAGCTCTGGTACATATATACAATGGAATATTACTCAGCCATAAGAAGAGATGAAATACTGCCATTTGTGACAACGTGGATGGACCTCCAGATAATCATGCTAAGCAAAATAAGCTGGACAGAAAAAGTTGAAAATCACATGATATCACTCATATGTGGGATATAAACCTAAAAGCCACAAATGAGCAGGACAAACAGAGACTCATGGACATGGACTATAAGCTAGTGGTTACCAGAGGTAGGGGGAGGAGGTAGGTAGATGGTTAAAGGGGTAAAATAAGTGGTGACAGAAAGAAATCTAACTAAGAGAGGTAAACACACAATGTAAATATATATATGCCTTACTGTTAAAGTGTACAGCTGAAACTTACTGGATTTCATTAACCAATGTCACTATAACAAAGTTTAAAAAATAAATATTTTAAAAATAAACAAATAAAAAAATAAAAAGGGAAGAAAATGTCTGCTAATAAAAGTAAAATTCTTTCTGTTTGACTTGAAAAAAAGATTTAGACATGTTACCAATGAACATATAAAGAAGGCAAATAAGCACATAAAAAGATGCTCAACATCTTTATTAGGGAAATGAAAATTGAAACCACCATGAGATACCACTATATATCTATCAGAATAGCTTTTAAAAAATTCACAATAAGTGGTGACTAGGATAAGGAGTTACTGGATCTCTCATATGTCACTAGTGGGAATACAAAATGGTGCAGCCACTTTGGAAAACAGTTTGGCGGTTTCTTATAAAGTTAAATATATTCACCATACAACCCAAAATCCTAGTCTTAGGTATTTGGGAAAAAAGAAGACATATGACCCACAAAAACTGTATGAGAGTGCTTATGGTGGCCTTATTCATAATTACTAGCAAACTGCAAACAATCCAAATGTACATCAACTGGCGAATAGATAAGCCAATTAAGGTCCACCACTTAATGGAATACTGCTCAATAATAAAATACTTGCAAAAACATGGATAAATCTTAAACACATTATGTTAAGTGAGAGGCCTGACACAATAGCTACATACTGTATGATTCTGCTTACATGATGTTCTAGAGAACTTTAAACAACAGAGACAGAAAATCATTTGGTAGTTGCCAGGGACTTGAGAGGAAAAAGGAAGGAGACTGACTATACTTGGGTACTGGGGAAATTTTGAGGTTAATAGAACTATTCTATATTTAGATTGCGGCAAACTATATACCTTAAAAGGGTAGATTTTACTACATGTATATTATATCTCCAAACTTCATTTAATAACAACAAAGCAGAGCATGCTACCCACACCAAGAACATTCCATACCTTTCCTCGACTTTAATAGAGAGATGGTTGCAGAGGTTGTGAATATATTGGGCATAACTCTCTGCCAGGGCCATGTCGTATGCAGTCAGGTGAACATTTAAAACCCCATATTCATAATCTGTCCCCAAATTAATGGGTCTGACTTCCACTTTTCCCTTCTTCTTCTTGAGCTGAACAGAAAACAAAGAAGAAAAATCAAAATATTGTACAAGAAATTCTAATCATACCATCTTGATACTAAAAAAGTCAATCTTTCATATAAATTTGTTTACTATTTTCTCTCATGTTACCATACCTAAAAAATGATGTTCTCCTGGAAAGGAACCAGCAGCTGCCCTTGCCAGTCTGGGCTATGACATCAGCCAATGAAAGGAGAGGGATTATTGCTGGCATTGCTTTAACATGAATAAAAATGACTTGACTGTCTTTTGCCATTAACTTGTTTTAAGACTCACCTCCCATTTCTGGCCCTCTATTTATCAATTTTTAAATTGATGGAGTTATGCTAAATAACAGATTCTTAATCTAGAACTCACCGAGAAATTTCAACAGGTCTGTCAAACCCAACATTTATATGTAAAATTTTACATATATGCACATTTTTCTGAATGAATCCTTAGCTTTATCAGAACTTAAAGAAATCAATTGCAAGGACACTCAGTGTTAGTTCTCTTCCAGCCCTCCCAACTTTAAAATTCTGCAATTATTTAGACAGTCTTCCTTTTAAGAATTGAGAGGTAGAAAAAAATATTTTTTTCCTACTTTTCCTTTTCATGTAAAGTCTTGCTTTACTACATATCAACTTGTGCAAGCTGCTGCTAAAAAGTGAAAATGAGGCCTGGGAAAATAGATATTCAAAACAACATAGATCAGGATCAAGAAAGTATCAGCTGGAAATAATCAAACCTAAATCCCCATTAATAAGGGGACTTGTTAAATAAATCATGAAACAGTCATACAATAGCACATTATACAGCTATAAGAAGAAATAAAGAACTTCTTTATGTACTGATATAGAAAGATCTTTAAAATAAAAGATAAAAGCAAACTGTAGAATAATGTGTTCAGAATATTGTCATACATATAAAAAGAATACGTGTGTGTGTGTGTGTGTGTGTGTGTGTGTGTGTGTGAGATTTCATACATATTTATTTGTTTGTATATCCAGTGCTTTTTCACTGGCTGCCTATGAGGGAACTGAATGGCTGGGGCATAGAGGTGGAAAGAAGACTTTTTAACTATTTCCCTTCTATATTTTTCAGTGTTTAATAATGCGAACATTTTATCAATTCAAAATTAGAATATTAAAATCTATATTAAAAAATTTTAGTAAAATCTTTATTGCAATATAATATTCATACTGAAAAATGCATAGGTACACAGCTCAATGAATTTTCACCTATATAATTAGTATCCTGAACAAGAAATAAACCAGTACCAACACCCTAAAATTTTCTTGCCCCCCTCAAACTGGTAACCACTATTCTGACTTATAAAACCACTAGCCTATAGTCCATGTCCATGAGTCTCTGTTTGTTTGTCCTGCTCATTTGTTGCTTTAAGATTTATATCCCACATATGAGTGATATCACGTGATTTTCAACTTTTTCTGTCTGGCTTATTTCGCTTAGCATGATTATCTGGAGGTCCATCCACGTTGTCACAAGTGGCAGTATTTCATCTCTTCTTATGGCTGAGTAATATTCCATTGTATATATGTACCACAGCTTCTTTAGCCAATCATCTATTGTAGGACACTTTGGTTGCTTCCATGTCCTGGCCACTATGAATAATGCTGCTATGAACATCGGTGTGCAAATATCTTTTTGGATATGGGTTTTCAAGTCTTCGGGGTAAATATACAGTAGAGGGATTGCTGGATCATATGGACCTGCTCTCCAGGTCAATCTAAGAGAGGAGGAACCCAACCTAGGGAAGCAAGGAGAAGACTAAGGCCAGTAATGTTGATGACAGGCCTAATCTCACAAGGGTGTTCCAAGAACTGAAGAAAACACTGTATGTAAAGTAGTTAATACAATCTGTGGCACGTATTTAAACACTTATAAATATTAACTTTTAATACTATTTTCATTTTATATTCCTCATATCCAGCACAAGGGTTGGCAGAGAATACATACAATAAATTACTATTTTAGAATTTTAGAACAGGACAGCATTTAGAGGTGATTTTATCCCACTTCTTCATCTTTTTAGAGGAAGGATATGAAGCCCAGAGAGATTAAATAAGTCCCCCAGAGTCATACAGCCAAGTAGAACAGATCTTAGGAACTAAAACCTTCTGACTCCCAGTGCAGGGATTTTTCCAGCATATCCTCTGCATTCCTAAAGTTCTTAACAGTGGTGTCCACCCCAGGATCCTAGACTTTGCTATGAGTGAGACACCATCCTTTAGAGACCAACTATCAAGGAGCAAGGGCTTGACTCTCTCTCCTTCAGAGCCTGCCACACCTGTGACCAAATGCAGTGACCCAGACTTTTCATCATGATAGTCATCACTGCAGTCAGAGCTGTGAAGAATGCTAACATCAGAATGCAATGGGGAGCGGCTAAAACTTTCCAGCAGAGAGGGGAGGAGCTTCTCTGAAACCTTTAGGAGGCTTTTCTTAACCAGAGAAAATGCCAGTGCTTTTCAAAGGTGTCACTTTAGGGAAACAAAAAAAGAAAACTGATCCAGTATCCCTCTTGGCATCTCACTTGCTTTTCCATGTTAGCCTAGATATGCCTGGAGCAATCCACACCATTTGGAGCCCATTGTGATATTATATTTCAGTTCTGAGCTGGGGCACAGGATAACCAGCAAGAGCTTGCCTGCACAAATCAGTCACCAGTTCCTATAATTTTAACATACAAGATAATCTTTCTCACACCTTTTCCTTCCTTTCTATTACAACTGCCTGAGTTTAGGCCTTTACAACTGCCATGGAGAGTTATTAAAGGTATCTGTGCAAGGGATGTACATGACTAGAGCTGCGTTTGGGAGAGGCTACCCTGACTGCGCATGGAAGAGAACTAGGCAGGAAAGGAAGGGAGGCTAGGAGAAAGGTGGCAGGGAAGATGGATTACTGTTTTCCATCAATCTTTGGCACTTCTGTGACTGACCTGGATTCACTGTGGGATAATTCACAGTGGCCCTTCTTAGATCCCTGTAGGATTGCACTATGATCCTCAAAATGGGCCAAAGGATAAATTACTAAGCCATTTTTGTACAGAAATGTCCACATTATTACTCCTATTTAACAGACAGAAAACCAAGGTCCTCTGAACGCATATTACCTGCCCGAGGTTACTGGGGAACTGCTGGGAAAGAGCAGATAGAGAAAGGAGTCACATTAGAATCATAGGCTGCCATAGCTGAAAGGATAACTTAGTCTCTCCTTCCTTCCTCCCTAATTTTACACAAGGGGGAAGTTGAGGCCCAAAAAGGGAAAATGACTTGTTTAAGGTTACAATAGTAAGGAAATGGCAAAGGTAACCATTTTATGTCTAGCACCCTAGGCTCTCTTCTGTAGCTTCTGCGAGTAGTTTCTGCCTATCACTGTTGGTGGCATTCTCCAGAGTGGGAAAGTTGGGAAGAAACTGTATCATCCTAATCCTCACATGAAAAGCCTGATATGCTTAAAGCACTGAAAATTTAAAAATTTATACCTGGAGTCTTGAATGATTTGGTAATGGTACTCTCAACAGTCCATAATGAGCTGTATGGTGCATAGAAGTCAAGTGATTATGTTTATAACTCAATGTGGCATACTCAAGAGATATACACCAGTCAGAAGGCCTGGCCTTAACTGGGGTGACAAAGAGGCAAAGCCTGGTGCTGCATATAGAGCATTAGACTTAGATGGAAGCCAAAGAAAATCTAGACTCAAATCCTGTCTGCTTAGTCACTACATGACATTCAATGACCTCTCTAGTTGTCAGTTTCTTCATTTGTATGTAACACCTAAGGTTCTTGTGAAGCTCAAAATAGTGAATTTATATGAAATGGAAATAGCATAGATATTAGATGGATTCTGACAATCTTCAGTTCACATATTGGCCCTGAAAATTACTAGCCACTTGGGCAAGTCATTTAATCTCTCTAGTATCTTATTAGATCCCTCGAACAGTCTTTAATAACCATAGGATATCTGAGGATTAAATAAAATATACCATTTGTACTAATATAAAATGAAATAATGTTTTTAAAGCCTGGCACATAGTAGTTATAGTGTCTAGTATATAGTGGTTACTCAATGAATGGTATCTTTTTAAAAGATTGAATAATGTACACTGATAAGACATTATTATTACTATAAATTGGGAGTAAGCATGCTCCTTGTATCCTATTGGTATGCTTTACAGAATGAAGCACTTACTAAGCACCTGCTGTATGCAAAGTGCTAATTCAACCGCTCCAAGGAAAGACACCAAAGAAATAGAAAACACAGTTCCAGGTTTTAAGGACCTTATAGTTCAGAGAGAGAGAGAAAAGACACAAGAAACGCCAGATCCTCTCAAGTTAATCATAAAGAGCAGCCCACCTCCCATGGCAAGTACAACACAAACCACTCTGCCGCGCCATGCTGATTAAGTCTGTAAGGGGAACCCAAGAACAACCACCTCAGGTGGGTGCAGCTGAAAGGGCAATGAACAGAAACACATGAGGGTATATAGTAGTTACTCAATAAATGGTATCTTTAAAAAAGGTTGATCCAGGCCTGCTTAGTTTTCAGGTGTCATTTTCTCTCATCCCCTAGTGCCCATTTGAGACTCCAAGATTAACAAACTACTAAGAGTTTCCCCATTGCATCTCCAGGATCAATGTCTCCCCACCTTTGCAGAATGTTTCCTCTCCCTGCAAAGCATTTGAATCTACCCCACACCCTTAATGTGAGCAAATCCTACTCATTAAGACTCAACTCAGGCTCTTCCAAGAAGGCTTCCCTGATTCTTACAGTTAAGTTAGGTACTACTCCTTTGTGTTCTTATAGCAAAACCCCCAATACACCACTTTTACTTATCATGTGTATTCATTTATTTGACAAATATTTACTGACCACTAGTAATGAGCCAGACCAGGGTTAGTTAGCATTAGGGATATGATAGTAAATAATATAACCATAGTGTCTGCTTGCTGAAGCTTACAATCTATTAGGAAAGGCATGTACAG